TTGCAGCTTAAACTTAATTTAATGAAAAAAGGGGTAATTGAAGCTCAGTTAAAAATGGATTATGTCTCTTGGCCACAATTAGAATTTAGAATGGTACAGAAGGGATTTATGAAATAAATTTTTGAAGAATGGAACCATTTGTAAAAGATAATGTTATTATTAGTAATAGTAATATTTTTTATTTATTTTTAAACATGAGAGTGCAGATTGTCACATACTGTCATAAAATATATGAGAGAATCAGTTTCTTTTCTTGCTGGTGGGTAATTAAATGCTTAAAATGCAAAATAAAACCTAAACAGAACTTAATTAGTCTAATCATGCTACTTAAAAATGACTCCTCCTACACACAGACTCTGAAATCGGTGCTGCTGCTTAGCTCCTGTGGTGGTCTTTCCTTAGGGCTCCAGAAATCCCTGCTCAGTGAACCATACCTCATTTCGGGGATGGCTCCGTGTTGTCCATGAGGCAGGTCGAGGATCTCAGCAGGACAGGCGCAGGCTATTCCTGGTTAAAGTCTTTTAATTTGGCCCCGTGTTTTCAAGGAGGTGTTTATAGCTTAATCTTAATTGTGAATTTTACCTTCTCGTCACGCCTTTCTCTGGTATTGCAATGGTTAATCCTAGGGGATGATTTTACGGGCTGCCCTGCAGCCCTGGATGCCAGGGCTCGATCAGGACAGTGTATTCTCTTCAGAGCAGCAGTTTCCGTGAGAGCCGTGAAATACCACTTGGCTCTCTGCAGCAAGGGTGATCAGCGACCTCCTCCTCGTGAACAGCGCTGGGACCACGCAGGTTCTTGGCACGACGGGGAATCTCCCCTGTAGGGAAGTTAACTGGGAGGTGATCCCTGACTGTACACCTCAAGGGCTGTGATCTGAGAACTGTCGCATGGATATGCTTAAAAAAATGAAGGTTTTACCTGCTTGCCCACTACAAGATTGAACACTTTCTCGTGCTTGTCTTTACCATCTTATTTCGAGGACTACTTAACAGCAGCCCCCTCATCATCTTTGTCCTGCTTTTCTTGTCCTCCCGCAGGGCGCCTTCTGGCCTGGGGGGTCCCGGTTTGACTTTCTGGTCTCATTCCTTTCTCAGCACAGCTATATGCTCTGCCGTCCGCCAGGCTGGGGGCAATCCCCACCTGAGCCCGCAGCCATAATTATTCCTGCTTGGAGATTATTCGGCCTTTGCACCTGCTTGGCAATAGAAACGGGCTCTGAAAGTGGTGTCACGCTGCCCACTTTTGCTGGGTCTGCTGCAGGGTATCAAGGCACAGAGACTCATTGCCACCTCTAGTAGTTTTTGTAAAACTTTATTATAATAAACCAATAACCCCCACCCACCAGTCGGAGGCAAGTCAAATCTGGCCTTAAAAATATCAGCACTTGTCACATTTTAACTATTGGACTGTACTGCTTTTTGATGCCTTCTCTTTTTTCCTTCTTTCTTTTCTTTTTCTGTTTTTGTGGGTTTTTGAAGTTTTGTATTTCCTAGAACTCCACAGATCTTTGATCTACACTGAAGCTTGGCACTGTGTTAATAGAGAATTACCCTTGGGGTTTTGTTTCCCGTTTGCTTCATTTCTTCTCTTCCCTAGTTCAGTAGCTTTTAGCATAGCCATTTGTATTTAGAGATAGACATTATAAGATCATCCAGGTTGTGGACTGAAAAAGATAAATAAGAAAATGAGTGTTTAAGGAAATAAGTTACCAGCTAGTAAAGGAATATTACCCCCAAAAGGCAAAACACAGTTTTTTGCCCAGCCCCGGGGAAGACAGATGGCAGCCTGGCCTGGGAGGCCAATCCTCTCTTTCTGCATGGGAATATGTATAAAACAGAATAACAGTGAGAAGAGGAAATATGCTTTTGAAAGTCGCCTTGAAGATTGCCTCCTCTTTAGAAGTTTTTTTCTTTTGTAGTCCTTTCTTGGGAAGAGAATTTCCAGATTCGAGCTTCATTAGCAACTTTGCACTGCCTTTCACTTCTAACCAGTTTAAGTGCATTATACATTCACAAGTTCATTTTCTTTACTTATAGGATTTAAAAAAAAAAAAATAATTCTTACTTGGGACGTTGAACACCAAATTCTATTCCACCTGAGTGATTTCTTCTAACTCGGAAACTTGAGAGAACAAATTGCAAATTCAGTTTGTGCTTTACAGAGCATTAAATAAATTAGTAAGCTTTTCCCAGTATTGTAAATGTTCCCAGTCACCTCTCTTCATGACTGGCAATGTAGCACACTATACTCTTAACTTGGAAAGGAAGATATCGCGGAGAAAATTGTAGCCTAAAGAAACACAAACCTAAGACAGTATCTGCCCCATGTGCTGTCTCAGTGCAGGTTTCAGATTTTATTTCTACAAGAGAAATCTCAAACTTCCAAGTGTCAAGTCTGCAGCATTAACTTTTGACTGCTGCAGTAGTTGATAGGTGTGTTACAGGACATCGTTCAAAGCTGTCCCTTTTTAACATGCTAATAGCAAAAGGAAACATTGTAAAGAATTTTAGAATTTTTTTTACTTTAGTTTGTAATTAAGAGCTTAAAGTTTGTTATGCCTGTCTCTTTTTTTCTATCCTTCTATTAATAGATCAAATGCACTGAAATTGTAACCAGACATAGAGCAAATGTGCAGGCAACCTGACTTCAAACAGGAATGAGAGAGCTGTTTCTAAATTTGCTTCACCTTAAAATTTAACAGCGACAGCTATTTTTTACAGACCTTCATAGAGTAATTTGATGTGTTATTAGTTAAGGTCTGTCACTGAAGGTTCAGTCATTTCAAGGAGCTCACTGAAAGAGGATGAGAGGTGAAGTTGTTCTGCTAGTCTGAATGGAAGCAGTCTCCATTATTTCTGCTCTTTTGTGGAAAATGCTTCCTAAATGTTTTTGAGAGTGGCTGAGGATGCTACAACAAAATGCTGGAGTGTAAATATGCTCCTTGCCGAGTGTCTAAATGCCAGATATGAAATTCAGCAGTATACTGTGCTTGTCACTAGAGAACTCTTCTTCCTGAGTCCTTGATACGGCTGCTAAGTCTCCTCTTGCTAGCTACTTAAAAGCGTAACAAGCTTCATACAGAGTCATTCTTGAGGTCTTGCTATGAAAAAGCAACTTGGAAAGAACTTAGTTCAGTTCGAGCCTGCTATTGGTCTTTGGTTCGTATGAAGCTCGGGAAAGAGGAATGGCTTTGCTGTTGTGGTGGTAGATCGTGAAGAAAGAAGCAGTCTCAGGATGGGGATGTTGTGAGAAGTCTTAGCAGCTAGTCTATGAGCTACGTGTCTACGAGTTCATAGGTATGAAAGCATGGCCAGCAGTGGTGTGATCACCTCCCTCGGTAGCTGCGGACCAAAAGGCAACAGCATTTGCAGATGCTTTTGGGCAGAGTGAAGTGCTTCTGTGGTGACCAGTACGTGCATCACTGGTTAGCTCCTCACACAATAAAATCAGGTGCAAACTTGTACTATTAGGGAGATGTTGCTTGTTAGTGCAGAACTCTTTAACCACTGCTTGTGGTGGTTCCTCTCTTGAACTAGTTGTCGTAAGCCCCTGGGGCTGCAGCAGCAAAGAGAATGGGGAGAAGAGCAAACTATATCAGTCTGTTTTGAAGTACCTGTTACCTGTCTCAGGCCCTCGAACCCGTGACTGGAAACGAGAGGCCATGTAAGACACTTGCTCTAAGAAGGATTTGGAAGAAGGGGGGATTTGTTGTCCTGGAAGCCTTTTTCATACTTAAACGTTGCTGTTTGAGAGAACAGCAAGGCCATTTTAAGTAGAACAAGCCAACAGGGTGAGGTGGAAGTCACAATGCTATGCGTCTTTGTTCAAACTTACAGTAAAATCTAAATTAACGTGTAGAGTGTTTCAGATGGCTCCCTTTCAGGTGGATTCTCTCCTTGTCAGAAAAGGGACAGAGTCCTCCAGAGCTCCTGCTAAGCCTGGAGAAGAGGTCCCAACACACAAGTGGCTGGGTTGCATCCTTCAAAACAGTTCAGCTGATAGCTGCTGTGAACAAACATGAAATTGAAATGTAGTTAATTAAAAGCCCCCTAATTTTTTCTTTATCCCCTCACCATAACCATTCTTTCTTCAGTTTTCCATTATCTCAATACATTACCTCTAACATTTAATCTCTTTGTTATAGAGGAAACAGAAAACACACCAGTAAACAACCTCCCCCTGCTCCTCCCCTTCAGAATCTTCAGTAAATGAAACAGGGAGAGTTATCTGTGGCAAGTAGAACCTATAATGTGAGTTAAGGTATTTACATGACATCACGCTTTGCTTTCATTGGTTAGTTTTTCTAGTTGCTGTATTGTAAAGTAAGCTGCTTAGCTTTGAAGATGTGAGAAGCAGATAAATCTATCGATAAAAGACAGAATACTGCCATTCTAAAACTCTCCCCTTTGTTGCATGGTTTACGTGAGCACATCACTTGCCAGAAAAACAGTCAGGATCCACAGATCACTCATTAATTTGATGGTGCTATTTTAAGGCACAGATCATGTACGTGAATGTCACTGACATCACACGTTTTCCATGTTCTGATAGATCTTCCTTTGTCTTACTGTGTTTTGCAGCTCCCATCTCTTCTCTTTGAAAGAAATTTTCTAAAGCAATTGCATTGCATTCATTTGGCTTTACAAAACTTCTGAGTAAGGCATTGCTAAAGACATCAGGATGTTCCTTTTTTGGACATTTACTGAAATTTCTTCCTATTTATTATGAATTAACCAGTAATTCTCATAGTCTTTATTACTTTTCTTTTATCTCAGTTCTTCCTTATGAAATTGTAAAGTGAAATCTTGGACTCACTGAGCTCAGAGTTCCCTCTGAGGGGGTTTTCCACTCATGAGTGGAACCACTGTAAATATAGATGAGCTTAGGCTAAGGAGATTTGTAAATCCTATTTGCTATTCAAATCTACCTTTCCCTCCAGTATGTATGAGAAATCTAACTATGAGAAGAAATGCTAATATTCCTTTTTAAATTTGTTTTGACATGCAAGAGATCAATTTCTTCATGAGCACAGTGATGACCATGTTCATTGTGTAGGCTACAGAATGTGAAGCTGTTTATTTTGAATTTAGGTTCCCAGAAGGTGCCTGCCCATGTTACTGGCATCATCCTGATTGTTCAAGTAGTTGTTCAGCGAAGTGTCTGAAGCCAGTTGACTCGTTTCAAAATGCTCTCTTCTAATTTCATGTGTTTCTCTACACGTGGTTGAAAGACACCTAAGAGTTTTCACAGCTGCTATCAGTGTTGCAGCACTTCTGTTGGGTGAACTTCAGTGTGTCAGCATGGCAGACCTCACAAGCACAATGATCACTTAGAAATAAAACAGATTAGGTAATAGGAAGCTTAACAATTGCTCCTGTTGAATATTTGTTGACTGTATGCACTTAAAGCCATTAAACAGTAGATTTCAATGTTCCAGAAAGTATAGCTAGCATGTGTTGAAATGGAGAAATACTTAAACTTTGGTGTATCCTAGGTATTTGACATTTTTGCTTCCTTCTGCTGAGTTCACTTTTTATCTTTGCTCATTGTATTCGTAAAGGTGTGTGGGTGTACTGACAACCGATTTGTTTTGCTCTTCCTACAGGTGGTTTACAAGCCCAACTACTGTAAATGCTTTTTACAGTGCGTCTACCAACCAGATCAGTGAGTATCTGACTTCTGAGCCTCCTTATAAAGTGCCTGTTTGGGAAATGTGTGTATTGAGGTTCAGATAACAGCAGTACAGTTTGTGTGCTTGTGACTGAAAATCGAAGTCTCAAACCTGGTAACTCAGCTGTGAGACACCTTAAGTGAGAGGATAGTTCGGAAAACTGAGGGCTTCCACAAATTTGAATTACTGTTGCTTAATGCATTACACTATGACAGCTGAATTGCAGTGACCACTTGTGTGTGTACTCTGTCCATTGCAAACATTAGCTTAAATCACTTTAATAAAAGTGTTAATGTTTCTGTTTTCTGTAGCAAAAGCATGTGTACACGCACCTCCATAAATATACAATAATTAACAACTCAGTCCTCTAGTATTGATATCTAGCAATAAACATGACTAGAGGAGACTGTGGCATAGACCAGAAAACCTAAGAAGTGGTGCCCGGCGGATTTGTTCAGTACCTTCAAGGACAAGGAGCGGTATCTGTAGTTAACTTAAAATTCTTACCTGTATAGTTTGATGAAATTATCTTGTATGTACAGTACAACCTGTCTTATGCTAATTTTAGTTACTGGTTGTTTTTAGAGAGCATAAATCATGGTTTGGAAGCACATGAGGTAAAAGCTGAGTTTTTCAAAGATGTGTATGGATTTGGATGTTCATTCCCATTTTCTTTAATGGGACTTTGCATAGAAAATTTCTACCTGGCTTTAAAAGTCTATACCAGTATTTCTGTGTGCAACAGCATTATCTTTACCCTGATACCTCTTCGTTCTTACTAGCTCTGCAAGTCAAACCAGCTTTCTTGTTCTGTGCCACCAGGGTCTGGAAGGCGGCTGCCATAACCTCTGTGGTCTTGGTCCCCAAGGACAGGCTTGTCAAAAATCACTGAGCAACTCCCCCTTTTTCTCCTGCATCTGTTTTGGTCACAGAGAGAAGTAGTTTTTGAAAGGCACAAATTGAATGTATCACACTGAAGAGGTTACAGCAGCGGTCTGGCATCCTGCATCTGCTGGTATCTGCTCCTACCAATTTCTGTAAACAATTTTTGCCTTCAGACCACTCACTCAAATTCTTTCAGGTCTAAGTGAGCTCATTTGTAAAGTGTATGATAATTAGGCAGTTCTTTTGATTAAAATTAATTCCAGGCCTAGACCGCTGTACCTTAATTAGAGGGCTGCCATCATTGAGCAGCCACCCTTCTGTTGATCATCTGAGGAGCCCTTGAGGTAGGCTTCCCTGGGCTGCCACGGCTCCGAGGTGAAGAGCTACTGCTGCTGTTCTGCTGCACCGGCCACCACTGCTGCTTCAGATGTATTGTGTGAACGGAGAGGAAGCCCGGTCAGCACGAAATGAGATCCACTGCTGTTATGTCTTCTTTAATACTGGGTCCTTTCACCTTTCAGCAGCATTCAGCTGTCTCAGCCTCTCTGCCATGGCACATTAGAGAAAGCTGTAATGAGATGCTGGAGTCACTGAAGCTAAATTTCACACTCGCTGTGCCTAATGGTGTCATGAAGCAGAGAGCTGTCAAACGTAACCAATCAGTCATGGGTGTAGAGGCAATTGTATTTTCTATCATAACTGCTGACCTTCTTGTACTGCTGGCATCTGACCTTGAAGTTTGGATAGTGCTGCTCACTGTCCTTTTAGAACTGTTTCTAAGAGGAAAAAGGTTTAGGTGGCTCTTTCTGAACAAAGCCCTCTTCTACCTGAGAGAGGTACAAATGTAATCATGCCCTAAAAATGACGTGCAATAGGAGGGAAGATTCAAAGAAAGGCACAGTGCAGTTTTCCGCTGCTGGCTGGCGTGATTTGCAGGGGAAGAGGCCCCGTGAGATGTGGGAGGAACCTGCTCAGGTCTGAAGTTGCTGATAAATATTTGACACATCACTACTGAGTTCCCATTAACGCTGCTGGGGAAGAACTGCACTGCAGGAGACTGAAGTTTGCGAGCCTGTGCATACTCACATTGCGTGATATAGCTGCTGGACAAATCTGATGCCCAGCAGTTATTACCTTACTGCTTTGTAGCTATGTTTTCAGTAGTAATCCATTCAAAGTTCTGTAGGGGCTGGTGATAACGGTACAAAAACTATGGCCTTTTTAAAGACCTAGTTAAACAACAGAAAAAGCTCTACAAACAAGAGTCATTTCAGAACAAGAAATAAGCATGAACTCTGGCAAGTTAAACGTAAAGTGGTGGTATAGCAAGCCCACAAAGATTAGAGATAAGAAGAGGAGATAGGAACAAATTACTTGTTTTCAAAATAGTTGGAGGGGTGTATTACAGGGATCTATGCTGGTCACTATATCAGCAGATCTGAAAAAGAGGGCCTTCTATTCTGAACAAAAGAACAGACAGATATAAACTCAGCCCAGGAGGACAGGTTCCTCTGCTACTGAGTGCTGGAAGGTAGAAAGCCATACTAGTAGATGGGTGCCTCACCCTCAAAGGTGGGTGCCTGGTGCGCTTTCCCTGCATATCTGCTACTGACCCTTTCTGGAAATAAGAGAATGAACCAGACAGGCTCTTCATCTGCTTGAGTGTCCCCGCTCTTCAGTGGGCAAACTGGATTTTAGTGTGATCAAGGCCCATCTATTTTTGCTCTTGGTAAATGAGTTTACTAAGAAGGAGTATTTCAGAAATGAGAATTTTAAAATGCATAATGGAAATTGTTTCTGGAAAGCAGCTTCTACATTAACTGGAAAATACTTGGTTCCAAAGTTGTTCTAAAAATTAAGACCGTTCAGTTTGGAAATGGAAATGTACTGTGTGATGTTATCAACATAACCACAGCAACTCCAAACTCGATTAGTCACTGAGGGCTCTGTGAAAGAGTTTAGAGAAAAAGCAACATCAGTGCCTTGAACCGTGGATTCTGAAAAGGAGCTATCGTCAGGTACCTGCAGAAGTGGAGGGGAACGTGGAGGTCCTGATCACTTCTGAACTTTAGGAAGATGCCTTTGCTTTCTGTGCTGAGAGCACAGGGAGTTCTCTGGCACGCTCCTGGTAGAAGCATTACTAATTCTGTCTCTGTACTCTGTATCACTGACATAGCATTAAACAAGAAATCACCGCAATCCCTATACATGTCCATGCAATCTTCATACACGGGTAAGCTGTTAGTATTTTTAACTTGACTACTCAATTACTTGAAGGAAAAGGTCTTACTTCACTAAAAGTGAAAATTAATAGAGAGTAGAAACTAGATGATTTAGAAAATTGTTAGATTTGGGAGAATACAGCGAAACTTGCCTATGCAGTAGATGATTGTAACAAATTTTGCTGCACTTCAGTGCAAACATCCTTATGTTTGCTATTACTTGTTTTTCATTACTAAAATATTGATAACTTTAATGGCCAACAATTCTGTTAAGATCTCCAAAGGAGAAATAAGTAGATGTATCTAGGTAAGACATGCTGCAAAGTGCAGAGTTAAAAAATATGGTACATATAAGTTATCTTATTATTATACAAGTTTACTCCGGATGTTTTCTTTACATGAGTTCTATTTATTTATTTCTTCTTTTTCCATAATTCAAAATGTCTCAGACTAACAACTATGCATGTTTATAATGGTTGTTAATCATTTTCCAATCCTAGTTTGGATCATTTTTCAATTTTCTTTGCACTGGCTTGTCAATTTCCCCTCAATTATAGGTACTTAACAAGGACAACAGGTACATGTCATTGCCTTTAGATTCTAAAAAGGTATCGAAGTACACTTCATATAATCTAAGCAGCGTGAATACTGTCTTTGTAATTATCATAATTGGAACACAAAAGCACTTTCCAAAAGGCTCTGTTTATTTTTACGAGCTCTAGAGCAGTCAACAACTATGTGCTGAAAATAGATACAAGTGATGATCAAAGTATGCTAGCATACTTCTGTTGAAGAAAAGGTTTTATTTCATTACAGCACTAAAATACTGGCCCTTGAATATGTTAAGGATAGCAAGGAACTGCTCATTAGACATTTGGTGTATTTAATTTTCTTTCCAAGTGTAAATATGTATGCCTCTAGAATATACCAGAAAAAGTAAAGTTTGTGGATTGTTAGCAGTAATGAAAGGAAGATTCGCAGTGAACTGAGGCAAATATAAGCAACACACTCGTGAGGTGTAAGCTTGAATAGATGTATTGGATAATTAACTACTGTTGATATTATCTTTGTAAGTTTATACCCATGTTCCTTCTAAGTCATTTGTGCTTGAACTGCAATTCTCTAGTGAAAGTCAAGAGGCCTCTTTAGAGAGCAGCTTCATTACATGTTACAGGAAGAAGATATAATCTAAAACAGAATTTTAAAATTACACTCAAATTAGCATCCATAGAGAAAACCACGGATGAGAGCTCATATTAGCCAGTAAGTATCATCTTTATAGAAAGCGGCATGCAGATACTGATGCTGGCAGCTTGCTGATGCTGCGAGTTGGAAGGGAGAACTCTTATCTTGCCAGGAGCCAGGGAGGTGCCGGCAAACACGGTGCTGTGGCCAGGGGAGGACAAGGGGACTGCGCGTAGGGGCACTTTCTCTTACCTTAAGAGCTAGACTAATTGGAAGGTTATTGATGAAGTAGTTTCAAGTGTGCCATTAGTTTCCCGGGGGTTAATGAACATAACAGATTTGGGCTGAACACTTTCTGAGCCCTGTTATTAAGTAAGATTTAAGTGTTCTTAAGTGAGCCCTTATTTTCATTTTTCCCTATTTACTAATGACCAGTATTCTCTTATTTAATTACAGTCACAGGTGAGATGATGTGTGATCCTTCCATCCATTCTTTATTTCTTCTTCCTAAAATTCTTATCCCTAAGTGTATAAAATAGGAGAATTTTTCTTTGTTCTTTTGTTTTCTGGGGAATCTAGTGAGTTTTTTTTCCTTTAGAAAATAAGGATTACAGTTTTTTGTAAAAACAGATGTTTTCACAGGTTTCCTAGTCCCTTAGCACACAGTATTCCTTGGCCCCTCACAAACCATTGCACATTTC